CATAAATTTCATTAATTTAATGAAGGAAATTTTTGCACATGCAGCAGTACATAACATGCATTTAGGCGCCTGGTGTTAGCAGTCGCGTCTAAACAGATAGATATCTACTAAATATTTCTGGAAGTATGTATGTATGTGCCAGGTTGCAGCCTAAACGGAAGGACAGAATTGAACGAAATTTTTACAGAGTATTGCCATGATACCTGGTCCTTTAATCGGGGGAAAAATAAATAAAACAAATAAATAAACAAGGGGGCAGGGCACCTCCCATGGGCGTGGAATTTTTTATCAGCTGTAACTTCGGAACTATAAGTCACATGAACTTGAAATTTGGTATGCAGGCATAGCTATGGTAGGTGCTTATAGTAAGATGTATATGAATCAGTTTATAAAAGGAGGCGTGGCACATCCCGTAGGCGTGGAATTTTGATCAGCTCTAACTTGGGAACCATAAGTCACATGAACTTTGAATTTGGTACGCAGACATATCTATGGTAGGTGCTTATAATAAGGTATATATAAAAGAGTTTGTAAAACGGGGCGTTGCACATCCCATATGCGTGGAATTTTGTATAAGCTATAACTTCGACACCATAAGTCACATGAACTTTGAAATTTTGTATACAGACACATCATGGTAGGTGACTATAGTAAGGTACATCTAATATATAAAAATTTCGTGTCACGGTGTTTGTGGTCGAACTCCTCCTAAACGGTTCGACCGAACTTTATGATTTTTTTTTGTGTATATATGGTAGGTACAAGAATCGGATGTAAAGTATATTTCATACCGTTAGGTGCAGGGGGCACCTGTATCGGCCGCTGTGGTGTAGTGGTAAGCAGTGCGCGCTTCCACTCCGCAGCACCTGGGTTCAAGCCCTGGTCAAAGCAACATCGCAAACAATATAGAAAATAGTTTTTTTTTTTTTTAACAGCGGTCGTCCCTCGGCAGGCAATGGCAAACCTCCGAGTGCGTTTCTGCCATGAAAATCAGCTTCTCATAAAAATACAATCGCCGGTCGGAGTCGGCGTAAAACTGCAAGTCCCTCCGCTTTGTGTGACAACATCAAGGCGCACGCCACAAATCGGAGGAGAAGCTCGGCCAAATACTAACATATGTGTACGCACCAATCTGTTATTATTACTATTATTATTAGCTGCAGGGGGCGTGGCCCCTCCCATACCAACCGAATTTTCATACTGCATATCTCTGGAAGTGTTCATGGCACAGTAAAAGAACTTGGTATGGAGATATATGAAATCAATCACATGGTCGTGATGAAAAATTGCGGTTATTGGAAAATGGGGCGTGGAACCACCCATACAAACCGAATATTTCGCACTGCATATCTCTGGAAGTGTTCATGGTAGAGTACTGGAACTTGGTATGTACAAGATATATAAAATCAATCGCATAGTCATGGTAGAGTACTCGAACATGGTATGGAGATATACGAGATCAATCCCATACTCTTAGGGAAAATCGAGGTAAACACACTGAAACTATTACGTAGCATTGTATGCATATACACTTTTGCTAGGTTATTTAAGATGGCAATGGAAATATGCCTTCTGAAAACCAGCAAATCGTAATAGTAGAAGATAAATGCGTCATTGAAATTCATGAACGTGAACTGTTGGTGAAAATATTGGACCAATATGTTTTAATACAAAAAATTAATTTTGGGCGGGACGAAGCTCGCCGGGTCTGCTAGTATCTCTATAAAACTTGTTTATTGAGGTAGCCTAATGGTGACAACATTGTTTTTCCTTGCAATTTGCTCGTATTATCGTATACACTGATAGACAGATGTCTATTTTGTCTGAGCGTTTTGGTATATATATGTCTATACCTACATATCTCGATTTCTTTAAGCTGTTACAAACAACCGTTATGCGAACAAGTGTACAAGTGGGTTTGGGTATAAAAATATGGGTTTCACGGCAAGAATATTCCAAAAAGTTGACTTTCCTTAGTAAATTTGGACCACCCTATTGTATATGCATATGTATGTTTGGTCATATTTTTTTATGCATACATACATGCATACAAAGATTTTTTAGTAGTTAATTTTTTAAGCCAAGTAAATTAGTGGATATGTTGTATAGTGAATATTCTGTAGGACTACTTGTCAGTTCATTAGATTTGTTTTTTAACCTCCAATGATTTACTATTTGGAATTCATCTAATTTTTGTTGGCCATTTGTTGGGATGAATTTTACTGCTCTTAAGGTTATTGATACGCTTAGCGCTTCGGTTATGAATATGCAAATACCTGCATATGTATGTACATATTTGCGCGTTTTCCCCACTCCGTGAGAATATTGCTAAGATAAAAGCTCTTGAGAAGTTATGTATGTACGTATTTAGAAATATTTACATATGTATGTACATTTGATTCAGTTCAAGAAACTCTACAACTTTCCGTCATAGTATTAAAAACAGTTTTATATAAATAGTACTCACATAAATACATATCTATTATGTGTAAATAAATTATTAATGACGTTGTTTGTTTATTTCTTTCACAGGTAAGTTGGCAAGTTGCTACCTACATATGCATTGTATATACAATCGAAATATACGGTGAGTTGAAAAAGTCATTATCGCAGCAATCGAGAGCAGAAACATCAACGATTATGTATACATAGGGGATTTAAAAGGCGTTTAAGGGTCGCAATGGCTTAAATCGTAAAATGAAGGTAAATATATTTTAAAGGGACTTGTAACTAACTACTCCAAAAAATGTTAAACTAATAAAAAAAAACTATGTAATTATATATCTTTTATTACACCGTTCGAACCCACTGAAACCATTTAAACTATTAAGACGTCTTGTGAATACCCGAAATATATATGAGTCTACCAACAGCTTATTAAACGCGAAAATATTTGGTGCTTTTAATACTCATTAAGCGGAGGATTTAAAGCTATCTCGGAACTGTGATTAAGTCGCTAATGTTTTAAAAAGTTTGAGAAACATTTTTTTGTTAGCTGGGCAGAAATAAGAAGTACAAATAGCCATTGAAGCTATGCTAATTTGATAAATAATTATAATTAAGCAGCCGATCCGTGGTAGCTCAGGGCTTTTCTATGCACGGGTTCATATGTAGAAATGTTATTTGCCTAACTAAAGTAGTTATTTCCACAAACTAAACTCCGTATGTTTTAAATTCTAGCGTAAAACAAGTGAATAAAATTATAGTTTAAAAAACTAAAACCTCGCTATTATAATTTCCATTCGTACTGACATCAGGTATGTAACTTGAGAACAGAAATCGCTGCATCTTTTAGGCGCATCAATATTACATAGTTACATCCCGAGCTAATAAAAGGGAGGTAATAATAATAAAAAGTCTAAGTTCGGGCGGAACCGAACATTAAATACCCGGCGCAAGTATTCAATATAGTTTTTTCACCTTTCCGAAAACTACCAGAACATTCAGTTAGACATAGTGAGATAAACTTATATAGATATGTATATGTACATATGTGGGCGGCATCACGCACGTTTTCCAAATTTCCATAATAATGTTACTTATTTTCAAGGGATTGTTAGTATAAATTTTGGGTAAAATTAGCGTCCTTAAATTTGGAAATATCGAAATTACAAGCATTTCTGAAATTTACCGTTATAGAAAAGTGGGCATAATTCTAGTCAGATTTCAATAATTTTCAACGTTTTGCTTTTATGTGGTAAGCGAAATAATCGTATCAAATTTGTAAAAATCTATCGAACGGTTACCGAGATATACATACCTGGCTATTTTCCAAAATTTTATCATAAACGTGTTGCTAAAGAATTCTCGCAAACATCAATTTTGAATAGATTAGCTTCTGTATTTGCTGATTTATCTAAGCTTTCGTATTTCATTAAATTACCGTTATGTGGGATGTGGGCGTGGTTATTGTCCGATTTTAAGAATTTTAAGTCGTTTGGTATTCTGTACCAGGGCTGTTGCAAATATTTGCATTCGCATTCGTTATGCGAATGATTCGCATCACTTTACACATTCGCATTCGACATTAGCATTCACATCAAAAGATAGGAATGTTTTGCGAATACGAATGTGCTAGCGCCTATGTAGCCTGTACTTAAATCTGGCGCTACATGCATGTATGTACATTAGGGTGGTAACAGTAAAAACTGATTTGTAATGCTCTCACCACCTAGGATTGTTCTATATCGAAAAAAAGTTTGACCCTATTTTTATACCTTTCATGAGCATGAAATGGTATTATAACTTTGGTCCGATGTTTGTAAGTACCAGAATAAGAAGAGATAGACCCATTAAAATGTATACATAAATGATCAGAACGGCGAGCTGAGTAGATTTAGCCATGTCCGTCTGTCCGTATGTCCGTCTGTCTGTCTGTCCGTCTGTTTGTATGCAATCTAGTCTCTCAGTTTTCGAGATATCCGGATCAAATTTGGTAGGTGGGTGTATTTTTATAATGTATTAATCATTTGTCGGAACCGGAAGAATCGGACCACTATAACATATAGCTCCCATGCAACTGATTGTTCAGATATGAGATTTCGTTATAACTTCTCCATTTATGCAGCTGGGAACATGGCATTCCGCAATATTTCCATCCATTATCAAAAACATGCTTACAGTGAAAATGGCGAAGATCGGGTCACTATAACCTATAGCTCTCATACAACTGATTGTTCAGATATAAGATTTTTCGTTATAACTCCTCCATTTATGTAGACACATGAAATTTTGCACTGTTGTCACTTATTATCAAAAGAATACTTTCAGTGAAAATGGCGAAGATCGGGTCGCTACAACATATATCCACCATACAACTGATTGTTCAGATATGAGATTTTTTGCCATAACTTCTTCATTTATACAGCTAGAAACATCAAAATTCGCACCGTTTTCACTGATCACTAACAGAATACTTACAGTGAAAATAATAAAGATCGGGTCACTATAACATATATCTCCCATACAATTGATTGTTCAGTTATGAGAATTTTCGTTATAACTCCTCCATTTATGTACCTAGGAACATGAAATTTTGCAATACTTCCACCCATTAACACCAGAATATACAGTGAAAATAACAAAGATCGGGTCACTTTTACATATAGCTCCCATACAACTGATTGTTCAGATATGCGATTTTTTGTTATAACTACTCCATCTATGTAGCTCGAAACATGAAATTTCGCCCTATTTTCACTCATTATCAACAGAAAGTTTACAATAAAATTAACAAAGATCGGGTCACTATAACCTGTTTATTGCCCCCATACAACTGATTGTTCAGATATGGGGTTTTACTGTAAAACTCCTTTATTTGGACAGCTAAAACCGATAAATTTCGTAAGCTATTTTTTAAATAATAATACAAAGTCTACTGAGAAAATCGTCAAAATCTATGCTGTATAATCATAATCTCTTGTACCACTGATTGTTCAGATACCAGTTTTTGCGATATATGTATCTCCTTTATGTAGGAAGCTAAACCCATTAAATTGTGTTACCGGTTTACGTACCGATCACACAGTAGTGAAAATCACTTAGATTGGTGCTATATAAGGTATATCTTCCATACCTCTGATTGTTTAGATATGATTTTTTATATATGTATCTCCTCTATCTATGCCTGCTGTGAATATATAAATTTATTCAAATGCAGTAATCTGTTAAAGTAAAATTTTCAGATGCTCATGAAAGGTATGAAGTCTTCGGTATAGCCGAAGACAGCGCTGCTCTTACTTGTTTTAATTTGAAATCAAAAAATATTTAGAGGTCGCTCAAAGCGCTCAAAGTTTTCCATGTATTTTTATATGGGAAAAATAAAATTTTTCGTAGAAATGGTATAGAATTCTTCTAAATCAATATTTATATAAGATTTAGCTTGTTCTGCGTCCCTTTTTCGACAGTTGCGAACCAGTTCTAAATTCGTCACCTTAGATATAGATTTCTAATGAAAAAAGTGAACTTAAATAGTTATTTAAAAGTACCAAATTTCACTGATTTTGAACTGGTGGAGATCTAGTTACAATTGGTCTCGTTCGTTTTTGGTGTAGTAATAAGAACGAGAAGAAATATTTGACACTATCTTATTTGAAAATTTGCTTAGAAATTTTAAAATAAGATAGCCGAATGTCAGGAAAAAAATATAAAGCGAGAAGGCTGTTTTTAATTTCACCATGTAGCTTATCTAGCTTTCATGACTCAGTAGTTTTAGTCGTTGATAAATTCATTAAAGCAACAGATTTGGCGCTTTGATTTGGTTTATGTAAAGTCATTCGTAACAACCAAGAATATCATTGTTTTATTTATAGTTCTCCACAGCTCAAAGAAAAGTCTCATGATGCCTTATTTACTAAATTATTCTGCTTTCAATAATGCAATCCGCCGAGATGCATATACAAATTCTTTAAATACTGAGTCAATATTAACATCCATATTGCGATGAATATTGAGACGATATTCTTTCATAGTTGATCTCAAATAAGTTTTTAGGCGGCGCAGAGTTGAAAACGTTCTTTCATTCGCGGCATTCACATAAGATAAAAGAGCTACAACTCTAAGTACTTGATGAACATTTTGAAAAGCATCGGAATTACCAATATCCAAAGCTTCAAATGAATTTTGAATATTTATACCAGCGAAGCATGTAAAATGCATATATACTTATCAAACAGTTCACAATAAGCTAATTCATCAAAATTTCGTGTTTTGTCAGGAAAGAGGCAAGCGAAACTAGACAAAATACCCCGGTGTTTTAGAAATCGATCTTGCAAATGCGTAATGAGAAGATCTATGTAGGTGTGGTGTGTACATTGCGATTCGGTAATACTCTTCAAAATGCTTCCGAGTGATTTAAATATGCTGTGTTTTGTTACCTAGTATGAGCGAAACTAAACCATACCGAAACATTTGCTATTGTTTGTTTGCGTTCTCTGGCTCGTTCTCTGATCATATTTATTGAACTATTTAGCGAAACCATAACTAAATAGAGAAGCGAAGGGTATTCGGGACCACATAACAAAAAATTTCTGTAGAAAACACGGAAATCCGATTTTTTTCTCAGTTTTAATGGATGATTTTTCGCTTATTTTCGCAGGTTCACCAAAATTTTACTTCCGAACCGTTTTTCGTGAAATTTTTACTGAAATTAAAAGCAGCAGAAACACTTGCTGCATCAAATACCATTAAACCACAATACTCGCTAGTGTAATTTTTTAATTTTGTACGTTTCAAAAAATAAATTACCGACCTCCCGCCCCCTCTTGCTGCCGAGCCTGGACTATACAAACATATATGTACATATGTACTTTTGTATGCACTCCATACTAACATAAGCCCGAATGCGTGTAATTGCAAAAGTAATGTGGAAAAAATAAATGGGTGTTGTTGACATTTAAATACATTGCGTATGCAAATAAATAACAGCAAAGCTGAGCTGAGCCCAGTTAAAAGTCCAATACAAAAACTTACAGGTTGCCTTCGAGCCGCATTTGCATATGCGCAACAAACGCTTATACCCTGCAGGAAATGTATCTCACTATAGGGTAACCTAAAGTTGTTTTGGAAGGAATTAAAGAAAAAAACTCCCGATTGCGTCTGCATGACTCCTGCATGACTTTACAACTCACTTTAAGTTAGTTGCCATAGCTAATTAAAGGTGAGCTATTTATCGAAATTCCGCAAAAAAGCTTACTACAAGTTGG